AGGAACTTAGAGAATTGTATAAGAATGATCAGCTAGGCTCAATAAACTGGCGACTTTGATCATCATATTGGTGTCCTGTCGTCCATCCCCGCATGGAATTTCTCTACATCTGGTGACCCCGACATGATTCGATGAGGAATAAGAGGCAACGCTACTGAAAAGGTGGGGGAATTGCCGTGGATTCCCGTGGGCTTGAAAGAAAGCGCCAGGCTGCTCGAGAGAGGCAGGAATCGTAAGCTTACGTGATAAAAGGTGGCATGGGTATCGCAGCATCTGTGAATGAAAAGGCAGCCATAAAGACACTTATGAGGCTGGTTGAAAAAACAGAGACGGCTATTAAAAAGGACCAGTTAGAGGATTTGTTACAGTGGGGACAAAGAAGGGGATTTTTCAAGGACTCTGAGGCTCTCTTTTCGTTGTCTATTTGGGAGAACTTAGGAAGGGAAATATGGGAGTCTGTCCAAGGAGGAAATAAAATAGCTGCGCGTCTGGCAGCACGTTGGAAAAAGTGTCTCCAAATGATGCAGCAAATAACATCGGAAACTGCTGCTCAGGATGCGTTAAAACATGCTTTAGCGGCAGAAACTCGAACTATTAATGCTCCTGCTCCCCCGACGTATTGTTCGGCAGCAGAGACAGTATGCGGAGCACAGAAGCCCCCCCTGCCGCCAACGGCGCCACCATTAGAAGAAAAAACACTGGTTGCGGCTTTCCCTGTAGAAGAGCTGAATTTTTGGGGGAGGGGAAATAGCGCCAATGTTCCCATGGCCCCATTAACACCTGAGGAACAGGCAATGGTAAATACTTCTGCAAAAAAGACAAGTCAGCCGCTATTATGAGCGGAAGACATTCCTCTGCCCGTGGAGTCTGATGATTGGGGGGCCCAACGGGACTCAGAAAATACTGAGGAAGCTCAAAATCAGCTATGTCCTGATTCAAATAATGCAAACGAGGATTTGGCTACTATAATACTAGAGCAAAAAGAGACAATGTTAGAATTGCTGGAGGAAATGCGAAAAAGAGACGGGGGTAAATGTGGGCAACCGTTGACGAAAAAAGCATATGAAAAAGCAGCAAATGCGATCGTAGCGAGTATGGACTCTTTTGCTAAAGTGGTGGGTAAGGCGGAAGAGAAATTCCCAAGGATAAAATGCAGGAATTGATTGACCTGTGTGTACAAAAAGGGGAATTAATGCCCGATGAGGGAAAAGGGTCTAAATGGAGATCCGAGGATAGATACAAAGGAATGTGACGTCTAACAGAGCCACCCTTACAAAACACGGAACCAGCTGAGACAGGACCTTCACCACCACCACCCAGGGATCTGTCTTTTTCGCCGGGACAACGTTGGCGTGGAATTATTGAGCAAGCCACTATAGAAGGAATAATACTGCCACCTACTGTCGGATCATTTCCCGTGTTTACTGAACCAGGAGGAAGGCGACAATGGGCGCCTTTGGACTGGAAAACAGTTCGAGAACTACAAAAAGCCATTATGCAATATGGAGTAGACAATAAGTATGTACAACAAATGATACAACAATTTTTTAACGCACAAACCTTAGTGCCAGCGGATGTAAAGGTTTCAGTGGAAATGTTCTTTGAACCAACTCAGAGGTTGCTGTTTCATGAACAGTGGAGACAGAAAGCAGAAGCCCAGGTGAGAAATTTAGATGCTGGGGCACAAAATCCACTTGCATTTGTCAGCGTAGACATGTTACTTGGCACGGGACAGTTTGCTACTGGTCCCGTTCAGGCAGCATTAAGGCCAGAGATTTTACAATTGGGGCAACAACTAGCTCTGGAAGCTATTTCAGAAGTACCGCAAGTGGGGAAACCAACTCTGCCATAGTCTAAAATCATACAAGGGGAAGAGGAGCCGTACATGAAATTCCTTGACCGTTTAAAAGCTGCTGTGGATGCATCGCCCACCTTAACTCCTGAAGCAAAAGCTGCAGTCGGAAAGGACTTAGCCATTCAAAATGCAAATACAAAATGCAGACAAATCATTGCATCGCTTCCGCATACAGCTACATTAGTGGATATCATCGAGGCTTGTAATCTCTTACCTCTAATACAAGAACAAGAGAAAGCTAAAATACATGCTGAAGCTCACACTGCAGCGCTCGCTGTAGCATTACGACCGATGGTGCAACAGGGAAAAGGAGACCGCAGCCCACACAAAGGCCCTTTAGTGTGTTATCGGTGTGGTCAACCGGGGCATTTGAAATGTACATGCCCTCATCGCATAGCAAGGCAGCCTCGACCTATGCCAGCACCAACTAACGGCAGTCAGTCAAACTTTTCTGGGGTCTGTAACAAGTGCGACAAGTTCGGACACAAAGCCAGCGACTGTCGATCAAGGTTTAAAAAAGACGGAATGCCGTTAACACTCAACAATCAGGGAAACGGAATGATGAGCACCAGGATGAGGGGGCGCCAAGATATCAAGTGCCTCTCAAACAGGGGTGACGGCGTGCCCGGCTGTCTTTCAAGGCTCAGGGCAGCCACAAAAGGAAGTGCAGGAGTTGACCTGGCCGTAGCCGCTGACACCACAATAACTGATGATAAAGTTCATGTTGTTCCATCGAATGCTACCGGGCCTTTAGGTCTTGGACTAGGTGCATTGCTTTTAGGATGCTCTTCTGTTTCTAAACAAGGAATATTTGTTTTACCTGGAGTTATCAATGCTGATTTCACGGGAAACATTTCAATCATGGTGAAAGTATTTGTTCCTCCTGTGACAATTATGGCTGGAACCCGGATTGCTCAACTGGTACCCTTCAAGGCTAGCGTCCCCTGTGTCGGAGACATTGAACGAGGGGACAGAGGATTCGGATCTACTGACACACCTTTAGTGGCTTTCACAGAAATAATTGGATCTTCCAAACCCATTCGTCATTTTAATTTATGTGGGCCTTTGGGAAAATCTCTGCTACATAAACGTATGCTCCTTGACACAGGGTCTGATGTGACCATAATTCCAAAGGAAGAATGGTTCAGGGACTGGGAATTACAAAATATCGACACTGTGGTAACCGGTATTGGAGGCCAGAAATCCACACAAATCAGCGTGAATTTCATAACGATTGAAGACTGCAAAGACAAAAGGACAGCACATGTAAGGCCTTATGTTTTAAATAGTACTGTATGGCTTTTAGGTCAGGACGCTTTAGCGCAATGGGGAGTTAGATTGTCCACGCATTTTTAGCAGCGGCCATTGACAAGCGACCAACCCTGAAACTGCAATGGTTAACGGACAGCCCCGTTTGGGTTGATCAATGGCTGCTTCCAATGGAAAAGGTCGCTGCTTTGGAGCAACTCGTGGCTGAACAAGTGGAAGCAGGGCATTTGGTTCCTCCTACAAGCCCATGGAACACTCCTGTATTTACCATTTTGAAAAAATCTGGAAAATGGCGTTTACTGCAAGATTTGCGTGCAGTGAATAAAGTAATGCAAGATATGGGATCCTTACAGCCTGGTATTCCAACCGCTACTATACTCCCCAGAGACTGGCCTTTGATTGTTGTTGACCTTAAAGACTGTTTCTTTACAATTCCTTTGCATCCAGATGACTGTGAGAAATTTGCTTTTACCATTCCAACAATAAATCGACATGGGCCGGCTAAAAGGTATCACTGGGTCGTTTTACCACAAGGCATGAAAAATTCACCGACTATATGTCAATGGTTTGTTGACATCGCCCTCGAACCATTTCGCAAAAAATGGAAAGAGGCTCTGATTTATCATTACATGGATGACCTGCTGGTCTGTGCACAACAACTTTTATATGAACAGGTATTATTTGACCTTAAATTATACCTTGGGGCGTTTGGTATAGTCATAGCCCCAGAAAAAGTTCAGCTAATGGCACCCTGGAAATATCTGCGTTTGCAAGTTGCGGAAGCCTCTGTATGTCCACAAAAGCTGTCACTACACAAAGACATACGAAATATACATGATGTACAAAAACTTGTCGGAGACCTACAGTGGATTCGACCTTATTGTGGTATTACAAATACAGACTTACAGCCGCTGCTGGATTTATTGCGGGGCAGCGAGAGCTTAACTTCTACAAGACAACTAAGTGCATCAGGGCGGCAAGCCTTGACAGCAATTGAGCAAAAAATCACATCATCCATGTCTGGCAGATACGTCCCTGATTTGCCTATAAATTTATATGTATATAACTCAGATAAGGAAGTTGCGGGAATTTGGGGTCAGTGGGATGAGCGACAGGAACGAAACCCATTGATAATAATAGAATGGATATTCTTGCCTGCTAGCATGTCAAAAACGGTAGTCACTAGAATTGAAGCCCTGGGAATGTGCATTCAAAAAGCAGGGGCAAGGGCAATACAAATTTCAGGGAAGCAAATGGACAAAATTATTTTGCCTATGATGTCGCTTGATATTGTGAATAATGCCATGATGAAAAATGACTGCCTTGCAGTAGCTCTGATGGGTTTTAAGGGGGAAGTGGATAATCACTACCCCCCTCACCCATTGTTTAAAACAATGTTAACAATGGAACCACGCTCTATTTGCAGTGAAAGCCCGCTGGAGGCGATTACTGTTTTTACTGATGCTAGCAGCAGAACGGGTAAAGCGGGATTTGTATATCTTCAGGATGGATCCTGGAAATCCGAAGTCGTTCTGTCAGAGGGGTCAGTACAGGTGCTTGAGCTATTAGCCGTATGCTCTGTTTTCAAAAAATGGGATAAAACACCTGTCAACATTGTTTCGGATTCTCAATATGTCGTTGGGATAGTCAAACATATGCATAGATCCTTGCTAAAAACTGTAAGTAATGAGCAGCTGTTTATGGCACTTTTGAAATTATGGATGTTATTAGAAAGACAAACAGACTTATTTTTTATCGATCATATTCGTAGCCATACAACGTTGCCGGGATTTTTTGTGGAAGGTAATGCGCGCGCAGATCAACTGGTAGTAGCCAATGCAAACATCTGTTTTAATACACCCAAACCTGACTTGTTTGGACAAGCACTGCTATCCCATAAATTTTATCATCAGTCAGCAAAAGCGCTGAGTAAGCAATTTGATCTCCCATTGCAGCAAGCCAGAACTATTATTGCTGCTTGCCCTGACTGTGCAAACATTCCAAACTTACAACCACAAGGGGTGAACCCCCGGGGACTATCACCGTTGCAAATTTGGCAAACAGATGTTATGGAGTATCCCAGTTTTGGGAAATATAAATACATTCATGTATCTATTGACACATATTCAAACCTTATGTGGGCTACTGTTCATGTATCAACTAATGCCAGATCCGTAATTAAGCACCTTTTGGCAACATTTGCTGCCATGGGAGTGCCAGCAGAAATTAAAACAGACAATGGCCCGGGATATCGCGCACAGTCATTAGAAACATTTTTACAGCTATGGGGGGTAACTCATAATTTTGGCGTACCCCATAATTCTACTGGTCAAGCTATCGTTCAACGTGCACATCGGACCTTAAAGGATCGTTTAAATATTTTAAAAACAGGGGAAGACATGCGGCATTGTACCCCCCAAGAGTTAATAAGCAAAGCACTATATGTTTTGAATTGGCTACAGCCACGTGGTACTGAGGATCAGATCCCAATTACTAGGCATATGTGTGGGAACAAAAATGTTGATAAAAACCAGCCGCAAGTTTCAATATTCAATCCAGTTTTATAACAATGGCAGGGGCCTTGCAAGTTATTCACGTGGGGAAGAGGGTATGCTTGTCTTTCCACAGGTAACAAACAGCCCCATTGGATACCGGCGAAATGGGTCAAGCCATGGATTGAGCAATCAGATGTCACAAACAACTCAGAAGATCGAGAACAAGAGGCAGTGGAGACTTCAGCAGGTCCTGAAGCCCTAGATAGACCGACTAGACAAATCACGACAGAGACCGGCAGTCAATGCGGAAATTAAGAACGCGTGTGAAAAACACGGAGTACGGTGCCAGCCCTGGATATGCATCTTAGTGTGAGTGGGTGAAAGGGATAGAAAATTTTTTGTGTGATCATTGTGATAGAAATTTAACTAACCAACTAACCTATAACTAATTGTATAGACAATAAGCAGCTTAGAGCTATTGCAGCAAATATATATGATTTAATGTTGATCGGCATCTGGTGAAACATTACTCATAAGAGCCGAGTGTGGAAGTAGTATTAAGATACCCTGATATGTAGTCATTTATGATAAAGACCAAAAAAAAAAAAAAAATCTGATTTGGAGAAGCAAATGGCAGTGATAATGATTGCGATGACATTAGTCACGGGATCTGTATTTAAAATTGACTGAATTTTGTCTGTCCTTAGCTACACCAGGGGATCCTTTTCGCATATGTCTAATTGGGTATCCAGACTTGTCCTGGTTTCAGCTGGGATAGAGTTGACTGTCTTCCTAGTAGCTGGTACAGTGCTATGTTTTGAGTTCAGTATGTGAAGAATGTTGATAACACTGATGTTTTCAGTTGTTGCTCAGTAGTGTTTAGACTAGAGTCAAGGATTTTTCAGCTTCTCATGCCCAGCCAGCGAGAAAGCTGGAGGGGCACAAGAAGTTGGCACAGGACACAGCCAGGGCAGCTGACCCAAACTGGCCAACGGTGTATTCCATACCATGGGACGTCCCATCTAGTATAGGAACTGGGAAGTGGGGGGGGAAATCGCCGCTCAGGGACTAGCTGGTTGTCAGTCGGCGGGTGGTGAGCAATTGCACTGCACATCATTTGTACATTCCAATCCTTTCATTATTGCTGTTGTCATTTTATTAGTGTTATCATTATCATTATTAGTTTCTTTTCTGTTCTATTAAACCGTTCTTATCTCAACCCACGAGTTTTACTTGTTTTTCCCGATTTTCTCCCCCATCCCACTGGATGGGGGGGAGTGAGTGAGCAGCTGCGTGGTGCTTAGTTGCTGGCTGGGGTTAAACCACGACAAGACTTTAACCCTAAATTTTACAGCTCATGGTACAGCCATATAATGGTATAGGAGTGATATTTTTGGGGGGGACACCGTTTTGGTAAAGAAGGAGAAAGAGCAATCAGGGTCAGACTTTATAGGATGGCAGAACATAACAGGGTTACCTTTATGGCCTGACAGTGATACTGCAAGTTTGGAAGTAAATACCGCGGGGGGAAAGTTGTTGCCCCCAGGAGTGTTTTTGATTTGTGGAGATAGGACATGGGTGTGAAGAGTTTGAAGGAGTGTGTTGCATGAACCTGTTGGACCATTCTATAAGCATTCACAAACAGTTAAATCAATTACAAGAGAACCTAAACAAGATTGGATACTATACTGACCCGTTTAGTGACTGGTTAGAATCATTGGGGTTTGGGCCTTGGATACGGCAAATATTAAAGTGGTTGATTTTCTTGGTGGCTCCTATATTCATACTCTTAGCTATTATCCCATGTATGATTCAATGCTCATGAATGATGATGACTAGATCTGTTAATGCTCT